AGAGAGACAGAGAGAGAAGAGAGATGAGAGAGATAAAGAGAAGAAAGATGGACGAGAGACACAGAGAGAAAGAGAGACAGACAGACAAACAGAGAAGAGTGATGAATGATGAGTGGGAGAGAGAAAGAGAAGAGAGACAGACAGATAGAGAAGAGTGATAAATGATGAGTGAGAGAGAGAAAGAGAAGAGAGACAGAGACATAGAGAGAAAGAAAGAGACAAACAGACAAAGAAAAGTGATTAGTGAGAGATAGAAAGATGAAAAAATGGGTGAAAGGAGAAATGTTCAAAAGAATAAGACGACGTCGTTTTTATTTTTTTTATTTTTTTTTTGGTAACAAAAAAATACCGTTGCATTTATTTAAACCATTTTATGACTATATATATATATTAAGCCGTCTCAAAGCCACAATATATATATATTTTTTTTTAACTTTTTTTTTTGCAACGGTACGTATTACGATCACAAAAAAAAATTTCTTTTTTTTTTTCGACTGCAGCTGGTACCATCGCAAATACTCTTTTTTTTTTTTGCGATAGCAATTTCTATCATCGTAAATACTCTATTTTTTTGCGACGCCAAGTGGGTAATGGTTATGAGATATATTATTGTTGTTTATGAGATATGTGATTTTGGTTATAAGCAAAGTGGTGTAGTTACGAGTCAAAAGAGTGTTTGGTTATGAGATATGTGATTATTAGTTATAAGATATGTGATATTGGTTATGATCAAAGTGATGTGGTTATGAGCAAAAGGGTATTGATTATGAGATATGTAATGTGGGTTATGAGTCAAAGGGGGATTGGTTATAAGATGTGGTTATGAGTTATATGGGTAGTAGTTATGAGATATGTGATTAATATTATGAGATATGTGATATTGGTTATGATCAAAGTGGTGTGATTATGAGCTAAAGGATATTGGTTATGAGATGTAGTTATGAGATATGTGATTGTAGTTATGAAATATATGATATTGGTTATCAACAAAATGGTGCTGGTTATGAGATGTGGTTATGAGATATGTGATGTTAATTATGATCAGAGTGGTGTGACTATGAGCCAAAGGGTGTTATGAGATATGTGATTAGTGGTTATGATATATGTGATGTTAGTTATGAGCCAAAGAGTGTTAGTTATGAGATATGTGGGTAATGGTTATGAGATATATATATTGTTGTTTATGAGATATGTGATTTTGGTTATAAGCAAAGTGGTGTAGTTATGAGTCAAAAAAGTGTTTGGTTATGAGATATGTGATTATTAGTTATAAGATATGTGATATTGGTTATGATCAAAGTAATGTGGTTATGAGCAAAAGGGTGTTGATTATGAGATATGTAATGTTGGTTATGAGTCAAAAGGGGGATTGGTTATAAGATGTGGTTATAAATTATATGGGTAGTAGTTATGAGATATGTGATTAATGTTATGAGATATATGATATTGGTTATGATCAAAGTGGTGTGATTATGAGCTAAAGGATATTGGTTATGAGATGTAGTTATGAGATATGTGATTGTAGTTATGAAATATATGATATTGGTTATCAACAAAATGGTGCTGGTTATGAGATGTGGTTATGAGATATGTGATGTTAATTATGATCAAAGTGGTGTGACTATGAGCCAAAGGGTGTTATGAGATATGTGATTAGTGGTTATGATATATGTGATGTTAGTTATGAGCCAAAAAGTGTTGGTTATGAGATATGTGGGTAATGGTTATGAGATATATGATTGTTGTTTATAAGATATGTGATTTTGGTCTTGAGCAAAGTGGTGTAGTTATGAGTCAAAAGAGTGTTTGGTTATGAGATATATGATTATTAGTTATAAGATATGTGATATTGGTTATGATCAAAGTGATGTGGTTATGAGCAAAAGGGTGTTAATTATGAGATATGTAATGTTGGTTATGAGTCAAAGGGGGATTGATTATAAGATGTGGTTATGAGCTATGGGGATTGGTTATAAGATGTGGTTATGAGCTATATGAGTAGTAGTTATGAAATATGTGATTAATAGTTATAAGATATGTGATAGTGGTTATGATTAGAGTGGTGTGATTATGAGCTAAAGGATATTGGTTATGAGATGTAGTTATGAGATATGTGATTGTAGTTATGAAATATATGATATTGGTTATCAACAAAATGGTGTTAGTTATGAGATGTAGTTATGAGATATGTGATTGTAGTTATGAAATATATGATATTGGTTATCAACAAAATGGTGTTAGTTATGAGATGTAGTTATGAGATATGTGATTGTAGTTATGAAATATATGATATTGGTTATCAACAAAATGGTGTTAGTTATGAGATGTAGTTATGAGATATGTGATTGTAGTTATGAAATATATGATATTGGTTATCAACAAAATGGTACTGGTTATGAGATGTGGTTATGAGATATGTGATGAGAGCTCATAACTAAGTTATGATTAATTTGATTCTAGTTATGAACAAATATGATTTTGGCTCATAACTATAAAAAGTGACCTGCTTACCAGGTCACTTTTAATGATGTGGCTCAATCTGAACCATTGATTTTCTATGTATCATACATTTTTTAAACAAAATGTACTATAGACTTTCCCCTTAATATCATTTCTAACTCTTGATCTTTCTTTCAACAACTGGAGAATAGTAAAGAATCACAAACCATAGCAGTCCCCTCCGTTACACGAACTCGGGCGCGAGTGCATATTCTAGGGGCCGTGTAACTCGGGCGCGAGTGCATATTCTAGGGGCCGGACATCTTAAAACTGAAAATGGAAGATATGGAGATATGGATCCAAATTTGGATACAGGTACGAGAATGCGGTAAATAGTTAATTGGGTGAATTACACTAATAGTCCCTATAGTTTGGGGTTTGTGTCACTTTGGTCCCTGACTTTTCAATTGTGACATATTTAACCCTGAATTTTGAATCTTATTCCAAATAAGGACAATTGAAGATATCATTAGATTTTTCAAAGGTTAAATCGTCAATTTGATAAAATATAAACTAATTTGACAAAAATAAATGACAAACAAATATTTTGAATTTTTAAAAATTATTTCTACCCACTAAAAATAAAATTATGTAAAATTGATAAATCTTTTAGACATTTATTTATTTTTTTACTAAATTAATTTTTATTATGTGTTTAAATAATGATCATGTAAAATTAATTTTTAAAAATTAATTATGTAATTTTTATCAATTTTACATAATTTTATCATTGGTGGATAAAAATAATTTTTAAAAAATTAAAAAATATTTTTTTGACATTTATTTTTGTCAAATTAGTTTTTATTTTATTAAATTGACGATTTTGCCCTTGAAATTAAACAATGATATCTTCAATTGTCCTTATTTGGAACAAGATTCAAAATTCAGGGTCAAATGTGTCACAATTGAAAAGTTAAGGACCAAAGTGACACCAATCCCAAACTATAAGGACTGTTAGTGTAATTTGCCCTAGTTAATTTTAAATAATATTTAATTAATTAAATACCATATAAAAATATTTTTAAATAAAATTATTATCTTTATAAAGTTATTATTTTAAAAATAATGGAGAGAGAGAGAGAGAGAGAGAGAGAGTCATTATATTTAAATAAAATTAGTGAAGAACAAGAGAGAGAGAGAGAGAGAGAGAGAAGAGGAGATTGAGACACGAGAGATAGAGAGATCGAGAGAGAGAAGAACAAGAGATCAACAGGAATACAGGTAAGGAAGACGAGATCGCACTTCAACTTCGACTTCGACGTCGAAGGGGAAGTCGAAGCCAGAGACAAAAGATCGAAGGGGCCACGCTTGTTGAAGTCGTCGAACAGAGGATCGAAGCCAGTAACAAGTTCTCTCCTTGCTCTCTTTTGTTTCTTTTGCATTTAGGGAAAACTAGAGCCGTGTCCATTTATAAAGAGTCATACCCCGGCCGCATCCCGCACCAGTACCCATGTCATGTCATGTCATGTCAACATAGGTACCTCAAAATTTCAAAGACCATGTAACATAGGCAATCCCTATGTTTTTTGATTTCTCCATTTTAGTTCACTCTTTTAATATCTGTAGAATCTCGCTAGATAGTAACCAGTTGATCTCACAAGCTCTCCATTTGGACAGTTTTGCTGCTTTTTCAAGAATTCATGCGGAAATCAATACTTCTTTCCCTTTTGACTGAATGAAGAGGCATTTAGCTATGGAAGCTTAGCGATTATATTCATCTTTTGTTTGTATTACTGCATATATAATTTTCTATTGGGTGTTTGGTTTTGAATGAAGGGAAATTCTACTATCCACATCCTTTGAAAGGATGTACCATATACATTCCTAATTATGTCATTTTCTTTTTTAATTATAATCAATTTTCTTCTTTAGTTATATCAAGTTATGACTCATACGATTTTTAGTTATCCTTCATGTGGTATTTGGTTATGACATTTTTTTTTTTAAATTATGACTTAGAAAGTATAAAATTATGACATTTTCTTTTTTAATTATATGATGCATAAGGTATATGCCCTAATCTTTCCCTTGTATGAATGCTTAAACTCTTGTTGTCTTTATTTCTATCAATGAATTTCCCTTTTTGCCAAAAATAAATAGATCAATTAGACCCCACTTTCATCACTATTTGTCCTATAACAATCTAAAGCACAATTGGAGATGAACAAAAAAGCTGACCACCCAATGTATACATTATTATTGCTCCAGTTAGAATTCCATAAAAACCACTCGAAATATTCTCATGTGAGCCTTGCTCCCATCATGCAACTTTTACATAACAAGCTCACCAGTAAGCATCACTTGAGATAGATCTCCTCTATTCAACTCAGATCAGACCCATTGTAAAGGTGTAATTTCAAGATTGATCATTTAACCTGGAGGATTTGGGGTAGCATCAAGGACCAAGACAACAGCTGTACTTTAGGTAATTAAACAACTAGAAAAGATTAATGTCCTAAAAAAACATGGAAAAAAAAAATAGAAAGACTGATGAAGTGCACTAGTGTTAAGACCCCCAAAAATGACAATCAAAAGTCAAATATTCTATCAAGAACAAACATTATTTTCACATACCTGGACAATATTAGATGTCAAGATCTCCAAAACTCATTGCAAGTGTTTGAGAAGGAACGGAAAGATTAATGTACATGTCTTCTATAGTCATCATCACTTTACATATTGCCTACTCACCCTGTATATGGAAAAGGTTTAAGAGTCAAAGGCACAACGAAAATGCCAAAGGGGTCCCCAATTCACCCTCCTCACCTCCCATATAAAAACTGAACCAACATAACAGCCAAGAATGAATTGCCAACACACCACAGCAACAGGTTGGAACAGTACCTCCAGCTTCACCCAACCTGTGGCCTGGAGCAGTACTAACAAGAAGACCTAGCTTCGGAATATACACAAAACATGACCTAATTTGACACTTGAAAGTTTCAGAAACAGGCTATAGTTTCAGAATAATCCACCTGCATAACCTCAAGGTCACATGAATGCTAGAACCATTCATAAACTATTAAAGCAAATGACCGAAAGATGGTTCACCCTTCTGCACAGATAATTCATTTGATGGTTACGTCCCGGTGTGGGGTCTGGCTCCCAACAATCCTAGCATACTGGTGCTGCTGCCCAGAGCAGTCTTCTCCATCAATCCTTTCATGTTGAAACGAGTAAAATGCTGACATTTGGAAGCCCTGCTGATATGGATAGCAACTGTTGACATTCGTGTTGCAATTGGAGAATGTCTGTGCACTATTCATGTCCTGCACTGAGGATTCCTTCACTTCTTTGTGACTAGTGGAGGAACCATCATTTCCAGAAGGATTAGAGGGTGTTGATTTAGAACCCAATGAACTGCTGCACTTTGCAGAGGTAACTGAGCCAGAATCAGTGCCCTTGTCAGAAGTGACATTAAGAGAAGCGCTATCGAGCTTCTTCGTGTTGAGAAAACGGCCACCAGAACCTCTAGGCCGTCTCATGGCATGCATATGACGTGATTCGTGAAGATAAGGCTGTTAAACATGCAGTAGTAACCAAACATTATCTTTAAAACACTATCTTGGAAAAACACTCAAATATACTTCATTAGTTTTATAAATAAAAAAAGTGCCAATGGCATTCAAGATTACCCTATGTGTTCGCCTATGAAGCAAGGGTACTTCGAAAAACATGTTGTACCCGTACCGGGTACTTATCGACGTATGGTACTTCTGCATACGAACCAGATATATTAAACACGTATCCAAATTTTTTCTTCTTAATTTTTGGCGTACCCAGACGTACCTAGTACATATCCAAACTGCACCGTACCTAAGTTGAAACAATATTTTCTTCTACCACAGCCATAAAAATTCTTTTCACTAGACTTCTTTTTTATTTTTAGTTTTATGCTTAGCATGATTTTAAAATTAAGCTATAATTTGTAAGTTATTTAATATATGGACATTTAATTTTGATTTATACCTTTACTTTTGGCATTTAATATTAAGGGTATGTTTGATTGGGGGACAAGGGGGGGGACTATTTACTGTGCAGATTGTAATCCGGGGAGAAGCATCCAATCTAATGTTTGTTTTTTTTTTTAGTCCACCGGACATGGAGTCTAGCCGGACTCCTTAGGGGGACTATCCACTGTTGGGATTAGGTGGTAAAATGACCATTTTGACCCTCTACTATTTAATTATGTATTATATTCAATGAAATTCAATAAAATTTAAATGTCTCAATTTAAAAATAAAATAATTTTATTTAACTTTTTATTGATGTTTTATTTATTTAATTTTTTAAAAATAATTTTTTATAGATATTTTATTGATATTTTATTTTAAAATTTTGTTTATATTTTATTTAACTTCATTATTTAAGTTTAATAGATGTTTTATTTAATTTCATTGTTTAATTATTATTATTTTTAAAAACAAATTTATTTAAAATTTTAATTAAAAAAAAAACCTATGAAGCACAGACACCTCTCCAAGGGCTCCATACCAGTGTCGGACACATGTCGGACACGGACACGTGTCGCACGCGGTGGACACGTGTCCGATATGTAGCTACGAGTGTCCCAAATTTTTTTAATTTTTTTTGCAGCCGGACACGTTCCAGACACGTTTGGACACCTTCGGGGACACGTTCAGGGTCAATTTCACAGTTTATGGAACTTCTGTGGGTCAATTTGTAAAAAAATAGAAACAAAACAATATGTGCCCTAAATGGAGGTAGAACAGAGCAAAAAGAGAGAGAAGAGAACAGAAGAACAGAAGAGAGAGATAGCAGACCTGATCGTTCGTCGTCATTGCTCGTCGGCTATTAGCTGAGGTACACATTCGCTTCTTCTTCTTCGTTCTTCTTCTTCTTCTTCGTTCTTCGATCTTCTTCTTTGATGTTGTCTCTCTCTCTCTCTCTCATTGTCTCTGATCTTCTTCTTTTTTTTCTTTTTCTTTTTCTTTTTCTTTCATATGGTCAGTGAGTGGGAGTCTCTCTCTCTTCTATTTTTTTTTTTCTAATTTCATTTTATATTTTCTTCTCTCTATGTGCCTCTGTTATAATTTTTTTTTGTGATAAGTAAAAAAAAAATGCCTCTGTTATAATTTTAATAGTATTATTTTGTATTTTTTATTATCTTTGAATAATTTTTTTATAATTTTATGACACATAATAAATAAAATTAATTATATATATTAAACATGTCCCCAGCGTGTCGTGTCCCTTATTTTTTGAAAATTTGCGTGTCCGCGTGTCTGTGTCGTATCGCGTGTCCGTGTCCGTGCTTCATAGAAAATAACATATTTTTATTGATATTTTATTTATTTTTATTTTTAAAAAATAAATTTATTTAATTGTGTAAAAAATAAAATGAAATAAATTTTTATTTAATCTAGCTAAAAATAATTAAAATATCAAAGATATGTGTAATATTGCTATTACTTAGTAAACAATTGAAAAAAGGTAAAATAGTCTTTTGTTTATTTATCCTATCCAGTCCGTCCAACCAACATTGAATTCACTAAAAATAGTCCTTTCTAGACATCTAATCCCATGAAAAAAACAAACACAGGATACATATCCAATCCAACCAAATAGTTCGAGGGATTCACAGTCCCAGATTCAAATCCGATAGATTCTAATCCCCGCTTATCCAATCCGTCCAATCAAACACACCCTAATTGTAGGTTGGATCTTAACAAATAAATAATTAAAATATCAAAGATATGTGTAATATTGCTATTACTTAGTAAACAATTGAAAAAAGGTAAAATAGTCTTTTGTTTATTTATCATATCCAGTCCGTCCAACCAACATTGAATTCACAACATTGAATTCACTAAAAATAGTCCTTTCTAGACATCTAATCCCATGAAAAAAACAAACAGAGGATACATATCCAATCCAACCAAATAGTTCGAGGGATTCACAGTCCCAGATTCAAATCCGATAGATTCTAATCCCCGCTTATCCAATCCGTCCAATCAAACACACCCTAATTGTAGGTTGGATCTTAACAAATTAAACCATTTAATCACTTTTTGCATTACTCTAAATTAAAAATAAATATTTTTTTACAAACGCACCAAGCCGTATCCGTACCTCACTTTTTTTGGATTTTACCGTATTGATGTACCCCGTATTGTACCAGTACCAGTGCCTATACTCATACCCGTGCTTCATAGGTGGTCACCCATAGTAACTAAATTAAAACATTACAAGCATATTTACATGTTCCTCAAGTAGTAATTTCAGGTCCTAAAAAAAGGTCATTTTTTCCCATTAGAACACCACATTTCTTTTCTCCTTAATATTCAATTAATCATGCAACTATCGATTCATTTCTACAAGCATTATTCACACAATGTGGGTGGCTAAAATTTTGATCTTTTCAAGTCAAAAACACTCACAGAAACAGTTACTGCAAATTCTGTCAAGCCCCTTAACAACCATTCTTATCCTCCAGAGACTAGGTTCATTAAAGCACTAACAAAAAGATCGACTCATTATGGCCAAGCACAAAAACAGGCGCAAACATTCAAACGGACACATTCTAAAATATTTTAATAGCCAACTTTCTAACATATGCAAGTCAATTATTTCTGTTTTTAAGGGAGAAAATGAGTTATACCAACCATTTTAAGCAACAATCTAGTGTTCTCATGCTTGCCACAAAACCCAAAAAAATGCAACAAGTACTTAGGAACCACAAAACCAAACATAATGAAATGATAAAGCATGTGCATGAGATTCAAGCAAATGAGCAAATACTGACAAGCATAGTGCACAAACATGTTCATTGTGCAAGCACCTGTGCATACATACAACTCACCTTTCTAGATTTTATTCGTTTCTTTTCCAACTCAGCCTTTGCACGCGATTGTCTTCGCCTCAGAATTCCATTGTACTGTTTAGCATTCACATACACAGGTTCCTCTGTCACTTCAAGGGGCAAAGCCATTCTAGCATGATGCACTCCAAGTGCATTAGAATGTACCTAAAACAATTTCCAATAGTGTTAAACAGCACATATTGTTCCAAAGTACATTCTAATATGAAATATAGCTATTATAGACTGAAAGATTGAATGATGCATGAAATATATTTAAAGCCACTGCAAAGGCATCTCGATAGTTTACGGTCATACAGGGAACAGTTCACTTTACACAATTCCAGAACAAAGAATATTTACCTTTTTTCTAAAAAAAATATAGAAATTACATATCCAGTGATTGATAAAACAACCCAAATAAAACACAACAAAATCAAATAGTCTTATTAGTATGTGTAATATTTTACACTACTTCAATAAAATATTTTGCAGCCCAGTTTAATCCAATTTATCAGTTTCTCCCTTATCTTTTACTGAGGTGTTTTTAAGCTTAACCAATTCATGTCTTTTGTTTGCTAATTTAAACTTTATCACTCAACTACATGAATTTTCATAGCCATTGAAGGCAGGATCTTCAAAACGACAACAACAAATAACCTTCCCAACTCCCTTGTAGCCATCTTGGGGAAAACAGGAATATAGAATATGATGGTGCTGAACATACTCATTTACTTCAACACAAGTTGACTTGTGTAGTTGTCTATCTTTTTCAATCTCTTCCACTTAGGAAGCCTCAAAATCATGAATACATTTTCAAAAAGCTACCAAGCTAGGAAGCCACCTTTGAAGGACCTTTTTCCTAATATTTTTAACAAGAAACAAAATTGTTTGACAAGTGTGAAATCAACGAGCAGCCATAATGAATAATATGCAAAATAAACAAAATGAAAAATTGAAGTACGTGAAAACTTTTTCCAGATCTTTGTGTTCTGCTCTTGAGGTATCATCATTAGGTATTACTGACCAAGGGGCTGCCTTTGGAACTCCGTGGGCCATTGTGAATGAGTGGCATTGTGTCTGAGTCCTTACAAGCTAATATTTCTCAAAATCAGGTGAATGACAATCAGGATGGGGTCTCGGATAATCATATTGACAAGAGGGGACATGTTTTTGGTGTAAGGGAGGAGGAAACGGGAAGATGGTTGAAGGAGTTCAGCAAGTATGAGACTTGCCCAATTGAGAAGAAGGAGGTGCCTCATTTTATGCAGCTTCTTCAGGATATGTGGTTGTCACTAGTGAGAATTAAGGGGATTTTTGGGTCATTTAGTAGGAATAATAAGACCACGACGGGTAAAGCTGTTGGAAAGGAAAGAGAAAGCAGTAAGAAGGGGGCTAGGGAGATAAGGAACTTAACATGTTTGGTTAATTATGAAAGAAGAAGAGAGGAGGTTAGGGGTGAGAATGATTTCCAATGAAGATCATTGGTTGGAATGTGAGGGGGTTGGGTTCTCAGAAAAAGAGGGGTGTTATCAAGGATTTTCTAAGATGTCATCATCCGGACATTGTGGTTTTTCAAGAAACTAAAGTAGAAGTGTGAGATAGGTGGTTCACGAAAAGTATTTGGGGGGTTAGACATAGGGGTTGGGCTTGCATGCCTTTAGTTGGTAGATCAAGAGGCGTTTTGCTTATGTAGGATGAGAGGGTTGTCTCTGAGTGTGAAACTATAGTGGGAGAATTTTCACTTTCTATTAGGTGTAGGAATCTTGACAATTCGGAGTGGTGGTTGACTGGGGTTAATAGACCTAATAGGTCTTCTAGGATAAAGGAATTTTGGGAGGAGTTATACGAGTTATTTGGGTTGTGTTCCCTAATGTGGTGTTTAGGGGGAGACTTTTATGTGGTCAAGAAAATCTCAAAGAAGCTCAATGGGAATAGAATTAACAGGAGTATAAGGGATTTTGATATGTTAATAAGAGAATGTGAGTTAGTGGATCCTTCTTTGTGTAATGCGAGATTTACATGGTCTAATCTTCAAGAGAATTTGGTGTGTAGTAGACTGGATAGATTTTTATATTCCTTGGGGTGGGAAGGGGTTCTTCCCAATTTAAGATAGGAGTCGCTACCTAGATTAATTTCAGATCATTGTCCCATAGTGATTGAGGGTTGCCCATTAAAATGGAGACCAATGCCATTTAGATTCGAGAACATATGGCTAGAGCATCCATCTTTTAAACAAAATTTTGAGGAATTGTGGGCCAATGCTAGTTGTCATGTATGGAAAAGTATTAAATTTATGAGAAAATTGAAGATGGTTACAGAGAATGTGAAGTGCAAGAATAGAGAGGTTTTCAAGAATCTAGAGATTTCAAAGAAGGAGGTGATGCGTAGAATCAAAGAAATAGATGCCTTAGAGTCGTAGGGGAGTTTAGATGAAGCATTAAGAAGAGAAAGATCAGAATTGAGGTTGAAATTGGAAGATCTGGTTTTAAATGAGCAAATTTCTTGCGCTCAAAAGGCAAAGGTCAATTGGTTGAAGGAAGGGGATGTCAACTTAAAAAATTTTCACAGGGTTGCAGACGAGAAAAGAAAAAAGAAGTTTATCAAAAGATTAGAAGTGAGCCCAGGGGTAGTTGAGGAGAGGGAGGATCAGATTATCAATGGAATTTATGATTTTTATTCTAAGCTTTATTCGAGGAGGAGATGAATAGACCAGGGCTTGTAGGACTCGAGTGGGAAACCATTGATTAGGCAATTGCAATGTGGCTTGGAAGGCCATTTGATGAGATGGAAATTAGGAAGGCAGTCTTTGATTGTGAAAGAGACAAAACTCCAGTCCCGGATGGCTTTTCCATGGCTTTTTTTTAAGATTGCTGAGAGGTGGTGAAAGGAGATTTAGGGAGAGTTTTTTCGGAATTTCATGAGTTGGGAGTTGTTAACTTGGGCACAAAAGCCACATTTATTTCTTTAATCCCTAAGAAAGTGAGTGTCGTCAAAATTGGAGATTTTAGGCCTATAAGTTTGGTCACATCACTTTACAAGATTTTAGGGAAGGTTTTATCAAAGCGACTAAGGAGTTCTGACTGTGTCTAAGGTGCAAGGGGCTTCTGTAAAAGGTAAACAAATCTTAGATGTAGCCTTAGTGGCAAATAAAGTAGTATAGAAGTATAGGAATCTAGGGAAGGAGGGACTTATTTTTAAGGTAGATTTCGAAAAAGCATTTGACCGTGTGGATTGGCAATTTTTGGATTTTGTAATGGATAAAAAGGGTTATGGTGAGCGGTGGAGATCTTGGATAAGGGGATGTTTGCCGACTTGCAACATGTCAGTGTTAGTTAGTGGTAAACAGGGGAATGCTTCAGGGCTTTGCAGGCGTTACGGCAGGGGAATTCGTGATCCCCTTTGCTTTTTATTTTGGTGGCCGAAATTTTGGGAAGGACAGTTTATAGAGCTAGGGATCTAGGTCTTTATACAGGGCTGGACGTGGGAAGGGATAGAGTTAGTCCGACACACTTACAATATGCGGATGATACCATATTTTTCGCTTCAGGGGATGAGGGTCAAGTAGTTAATCTGTACGCGATTTTGAGACTTTTGGAAGGAATCTCAGGGCTTACGATTAATTTGGAGAAATGTAGCGTGGTGAGCATTAATATGTAGCACGACCAGCTTCAGAGCAGGGCAACACTTTTAGGTTGTGGAATCAAGTCACTTCCGTCCAAGTATTTGGGGCTTCCATTAGGGGTAATCCTAGACGTGAAACTTTTCGGAATCCAATTATCAAAATGATAGGTAAGAGATTGGAAGGGTGAAGTAAGACTTTATTGTCATGGGCGAGTAGATACACTTTGGTTTGATTGTTTTGAGTGGTATTCCCATTTATTTCTTATCTTTGTTCAAGATTCCGATTAAGGTGGCAAGGTTAATAAAAAAAGTTGATGAGGGATTTTCTTTTGGAAGGGTAAGGATGAGGGGAGAAGGATCACTTAGTGAAGTGGAATTTAGTCTCGTTACCTAAGGAGAAAGGGGGTTTGGCTATTGGTAATATGGTGATTAGAAACATGGCACTTCTTGGCAAATAGTTACGGAGATTTTCACTAGAGAGTGATTCACTTTGGCATGCGGTTATTAGAAGCAAAATGGGAATCAAGACAATGGTAGGGATTCACAGGTGGTTTTGAGGGGTAACAGTCGTGCTCCTTGGAAATCTATTTCTCAGTACACATGTTAGTATCGTTATCTTTTCTATGAGAGTGGGCAATGGGGAACTTGTTTGGTTCTAGGAGGATGTTTGGCTGGGTCAATCTTCTTTTGCTTTTGATTTTTCACATCTTTATAGAGTGGCTAGGTCTCATAATTCCTCGATTGCTTCCATGGCTTATTCACTTTTGGTTCCAATTTCTTGGAATTTTGATTTTTCAAGGAACCTTAATGATAGGGAGGCTACACAGTTGACCACTTTGTTATCCAAGATTGATCATTTTTCTTTGGTTCCTCTTTTGGAGGATAAGGTGTGGGCTCTTCATTCTTCTGGGATATTTTCCTGTAAGTCTTTTTTTGATAACATCATTGATAATACTGAACTTCCTCAATTTCCTTTTTGCAAAAGAATTTGGAAGGCTTGTGCTCTACTAAAGGTGAAGGTGTTCATGTGGGCCTTGGTTCATGGAGGCATCTTGACAGATGATACATTGCAGAGATGAAGACTTAATCGTTTTCTAAATCCTCAATGGTGCATTATGTGTCGTAAAAATGGGAAAAAAGTTGATCACTTATTTCTCCATCGCCCTTTTGCTTTGAATTTATGGCACAGATTGTTCCTTATCGGAAATGTTATGTGGGTAGCACCAAAAGGGACTGCGCATATGCTCCTTGTTGATTTTCGCACATTTGGAGACTCGAAGAGAGCCAAAATGTTATGGTCTTTGCAACTTTCTGAGTTCTATGGTTGGAAAGAAATACAAGGTTGTTTGAAGATAAATTCAGGAAGTGGACTGATTGCGGGATAAAGTTTGCTAGTTAAATTCCTTTTAAGCTTCATAGAGTTCGCTCTTTAAGGGGGTTGTAGTCTTTTTGTTAGCTAGAGATTGGTTGTCGGTGTGTGATTAGTAGATTTTTGCTTGTGATAATATTGTTAGGATTCTGCACTCTATATTTTCATTTTCCTTCTATATGAGGATGCCTCATGCATGCCCCCTTTTTGATTTATTAATAAAATCTTTTGTTGTTGATCAAAAAAAAAAAAAAGTAAGTGAGAACTTCATAAATGGGGTAGTTTACAACAAACAGGGTAGTTTCTCATCAGAAAATAAAAACAAGAACATTTGTCAATTGAAGGGCTCATCTTATTCATCAATTTTATATCCCATAAATTTCCAAACAGCGAATCACCCAAATGCAGATCAAGCCTAGCATTAAAACTCAACATCCATAGAAGGGGCTAGAGACAGCTTACCAAAGCTTGAGGGCCATAAGCAGGCATTATTCCCGCATAATATGGATCTGAACATGGATACGATGTGCATGCCTGCATAAAAAGGGGAAAAAATTAAAATAAAATTTAGACAACATTGTCCTCTGAACAGGGCTATAAAAACCGTATTTATAATCTCAAACAATAAACTAAGTTCATGAAGTTAACATGACCATATCTTTACATATACAACATTGAAACAACTGTATTCAATTGTTTTTGTGTTTATGAGAGAGAGAGAGAAAGAGAGAGAGTACAATTGAGTGGCCAACGAGTTCCAGTTGAGGTGGGGTGAGGTATTCACCCATTGTTGGAGGCTTTACAGATGTGATGTGCAGCTGTTCGTCTTTACAATTTTCAACTGACCATAAAGATAATATATCATCAGGACCATCTAATGTGACAAACATACATATATCCTCTTCTTATAAATATATTTATAACTTTGCAGGTCGAAAAGGCAATTATCATACCTTCAAAGCATGTACAATGTTTTGGCAATTTCAGATACAAAATGTGTTAATATAATACAGGGTAGACAATGTGTAAATGATAAAAATAGAAAAGAAAAATTAAAATGTCCTTTGGAAGCATTACTAACGAATAACAAACAGAGATCCAGCAAGAATAACTGAGAACAGAAAGCATGATAGGTTCAAAACAAACTAAAAAAATAGATCATCAGTAGAAACAGAACCAGAAGCACACCATAGACATGTGACTAAAAAACATATAACAACAACAATATAGCTGCCTTTGTGGTTCTGCTTCCTACAATGCAATATATAGTAGAGACAGAACAGATGAGGCAGTTTTTCAACAAATACAATAAACATTGTCAATGAACCTTGCAGTGAGTTGTTTTCACCATAAATACATGGGTATAACAGTGCTCAATGTTGAGAGTTGTCAACCCAAGTAGAAACCTACTTGCACAAAATTTTTCTGAACACTAAACCAATTTACAAGAAGGTGCACGGTAAAAATATGATTTCCATTAAAGCCCAGGGATCCATAATAATCTACCTTTCACCCTATAATTTATTTTGGACAAAAGATAAAGGCTTAAAAGCAAATGGGAAATACAAACTACAGCAGCATAGCAGACATCTTTTGTTTCTAAGTCTCATGGCACAGCCCTTACCAGGAAGCATTTCCACAGGAAAATTTTAAAAGATAATTTTATGTACCTGATTGTTGCAACATGGTAGTGTGCATTTCTTTGTTTGTGCTATCTCCTATATCATGTCCACCATTAGCTTGTGTTTCAATAGCTTTGGTCCCTAGAGAATCACTTGGCTTCTGTAGTGAAGATAAATTCAACGTACTTTCCTCTAAACTATCCTGTGAGATAGCATTGTTGCCAGTGCCAGCGCACCAGGCTTGGGAACTGATTGTATATAGTCTACTGTTTTCTGCATCGGATTTTAGTTGATTTGAGCTTTCTGATCTTTGGTGCATATTTTGTGTAGCTGTACAAAAAAAGATAATTTAAGTCAGCTTAGGTAATTAGATGGAAACCATTCATTTATACATATTTATATTAAATACAGAAATAGCAACTGCAATACAGAAGACGCTTTATTAGATAGATGTGTAGACAGGCATGCATTAGCAAGAACAAACGGAATTCATGTATATAATTCTCTAAACATCATAACGGAATTATGGAACTGTAAGGAATTTCTAAAATCATTTGTCCAGGTTTGATTTTGTGATTTAGCAAAGGAAACAAAAGGCATTCCTACTACTAAAATTATTTAAGTGAACTGGGGAAAGCTAAAAGTGAAGGCCAAAAAGACACCCCTATTCCTTGTACAGAAAGACCATTTGGATGTCCCATGAATATCAATGACCCCATCAACATTCTACATTGCATTTCAATGTATGATCTATCATCTTGAATGGAATCATTAAAAAAAAAAAAAATTGACAGCCATCTCTTAAATGATGCTAAAAGAGTTCGACTTTTGTCATCTCAAGAAGATTTTAAATGATTACATGCTATGAAACATTAAGTTCCCCTTGTTGGAAGTAGGAACTATTCAAGAAAAATGCATTCATCTCACCAACTCTCATAAACAGATTTGGATTTACTCATCTAGATTCTAAAGAAGATTTTAAAACAGTTACATGACTTGAAACATGCATAGGCAATCATCTCACAACTGATGCTAATGTGCCATTTGTTAACGTTTACAATTTATTATTTTTTATTTACAAAAAACATTAAAAAAAATTATATTTATTTTTGGTAAAAACAAAAAGCAAAAACAAAAAAACATATTTGATACACACATGAGTTAAGAGGGGGGGTTGGCCGGAGGTGGTTGCTAGCAGGAGGTGGTGGCCAAAAGTGGTTGCCAATGAGGAGAGGTAGTGGCTGAAGGTGGTATTGGCCGGAGATGGGGAAAGAGACAAAGGAATGAAAATTTATTTGGCTTGAAGAATTTAGTGAATTTTGTAAACTATTTACAATTTTTTGAAAATAAAAATTATAATCAAACGAGTTTTTGTTCACAGGTTTTAAAATTTTGTAAACATAAACAAAAAAAATTGTATGCATAAGGTTACTAATTTTGTCATCTCTTGCAATAAGCTCTTGAATGCCTATGGCTTAGTCAAGATCAAATCCAGCAGTTATTATTTAATCGTGCTATTGCTAAGATTTGGCACAATGGACACAAAAAACACTTCAGCAATGTCATATTCATCGTCATCGTGCCAAATTTTTAAAAAGTGTCATATCATGTATTTTTCATACATAATTTTTTTTTTTAAATTAATTCTTTTTATAAATAAAAAATTAACCGTTGTATTAAAATAATTTAACCCAAAATATAATTTGAAGACATTCCATTATAAAATACTAACCATTTAATTTTATTAAATTTATTTGACATAAGTTTGAATTAAGTTAATGAGTTGAATTTTTCATATTAAATATTGGATTACAAACATTTTTAAATAAAATTTTAATTTAAAAACATTATGAATACTTGTAATTAGGTACATTAAGAAGCACTGCATGGACACGTGACACACACAAACATGACACTAACACAATAATTTCCAAAAAATATTGGACACGACATATGGGAAACATTACATGTCATACATAGTTTTATATATTTATTAAATGTCATAAATAAATTTGTGAAAAAGAACATTTAATTCGAAGATAATAACAAAATACAATATAATATAACACTAATTTCTAAAGTTTAACAGAGTATAGTAAGTATAAATTTATATTATTTTTCTTTTATCATTAAATTTCAAGTTCTTTTATTTAAACTTGTAATGTGTTTCATGTATGTTTAAGCGACGCACATATAGAAAAGTGTGATGAGTGTCGTGTCGTTTATGTGTCCGACATGACATGACATGCCATGAAAATCCTTACAAATTAAATTTCAAGCCAATAATCAAGCAAATGTGTTGACGGTTCTTTTGCCTCAACAAAAAGGACTTCAACAATTGCCAAATGTAGAAAAAAAAATAAATAGAAAAAGAAGATAAGGAGATGGAGAAGAAGATTGAGTGGACAATCAAAGTAACCATTAAATTACCTCTATTCCTATTGCTTCGAAATGAATATGTCATAAAGGAAATGCAAAAAATAAATCTAAGTTATATCTAATCCTATGATAGAAAAAAGATGACACGAAAGAGAAATCAATTTGTCTTTGATTTGTGTTGGTGACTTTACAATATAGCCATATGAGGCCATTTATGGGCAAAAAGTTGTAAGAAAATACAAAAACAACCCACATAGCCACCTAATAAATCTACCCACTCTTTTCATCTTCATTCTTGTCTTGTCTTGCCATGTGTTCCTCCATGTCTTCCATATGCTCCACTTTACGCTCCATGTTACTCCACACTCTCCTAGGAGAGTGCCATGTGTACTCTAAAGATAATAATGGCAACAATGATAATTTGATTTTTTGGCAAAAGTGATAAGCATGTCTCAAGAACATGCCCTGGATTACTAAGCTGCAGATCTCTTCATGCAGAATTATGTACATGTAAATGTTCAAATAGACTACATGCCCTAAACACATAATTAAGCCTCATCATCTAAAAATAACTAGATAAAAAAATTAATTAACAAAACCAACGTTTGGTTGCTAGGAAAACTATAAGGAAAGAAACGAGAATATCAAATCCTTAATAAGTACCAAACAGCGAACAACTCAAACTCAATTTGAGACTTTTTGTTTGGTGCATGGAATGGAAACAAAGTAAATCTACAAATGATTAGCATGATAGGTTTATATCTAAATCTCATTGAAAAAAACAGAGATATCAGAAATTAAAACGAAAATTGATTTGTGAAGAGGGCTTACTTTACAGTTCAGATTCATGGGATTGAAAGAAACCCTAGAATTCTCTGCAATTCCTCTCCACTCTGAATATGAGACAGAATTTATGGGTGTGTATATCATATATGAGTAGTTAGTAGTACTAGAAGAAGACCAGAGAGAGAGAGAGAGAGAGAGAGAGAGAAATTTAGGAATATTCTTTTTTTTATGGGGTTCAGATAGACTGAGGAATATTCAAAGGGTAAATTACACTAACACCCGGTATTTTTGTTTAATACTTATTATTACGAAAAATTACACTTTTACTTCCTTATCAAATTAAACAACATTTTTTATTAATACATATTCTTACAAAAAAAAATTACACTTACTTCTTTATCAAATTAATATCTTTAATCTTTATACATATAAAATAATAAAGCAATATTGATATTTTTTTCATATCATTTTAAAAGAAATAACAATCACCGTTTTTGGTTCAATTCATACAAAAAATCAAAAAAAAATTATTTTTATTGAATTTTTTTAATATTTTAAGTAATTTTTTTATTTTTTAGATATACTTAAGAAATATAATATTTTATATTTTTTTTAAAATTCACCGAATACAAAAAAAAATACAAAAATTCAGTAATACTGTAATAAATGTGAATGACAGTGTTTTGTAATATTGTAATAAATGTGGATAAATAGACGAGAAAGAAAAATAATAGTGGAAATAAAAATGAAAAATTCTATTCATATATAAAAATTTATACAAAAAATATTATAAAAATGTTGTGATAATGATGTTGTTGTAAACATAAATCATGTTTATGAATGTTTCGTTTTAAAATGAAATGTCACCATTAAGGTATATCATTGTGTTTGAAAATTTTATATAAAATTTATGTTTGTATATCATCACTCTATAAGAATATATTCAGATAGAATGTAATGATGAAAAATTGTAAAATATAATCATGATGATAAAAAAAATAAATGGTAAAAAAAAGAGCAAAATGGTTATTTAAAAAAATTTAAGATATAACATCAGCAATCAATTTATAATGAAATTATAAACAAGGAAATGTAATTTTTCAAACATGAAGGAATCTATATTAAACAAAAATTTCAAAGAGTGTCAATATAACTTACCCATATTCAAACATGGCCTCTCTTCGCAAAGAGGTTTAAAGTAACTTTTTAGTTTTTAATCTCTTTTAAGTCATATTGTTTCTTTACTTTTTTACATATTTTATCAAAAAAAAATTTAAATAAAAAAAATTAATTTTTAATATACTTCCCAAAATAACGTGGTATATATAGGCACGCGAACGTCGCTCTCTCTCCCGCTTGAAAAATGTCTTCTTTTCCACTGTAGGTAATACATTAATGTCCCCTCATTGTTGAGGAAACTATCCTCATAATTATGTTTGTTTCATTTTTTGCACCCCTTCCAAAAAAAGCTGAGAATGAAGTACCTATTTGGTATTGTCCTCAAAACTCTCCTTTTTGTTTTTGATTTATTTTTTATATTTTGAAACAAATAAATTATTTTCAAGTTCAAACTTGTTAAAATTAAAACCTCAACTTTCAAAGTAGAGTTGGGGCATTGTGAAACTAATTTATACCAATCTTAATGGTTTGAGCCATTCATCTCATATGATAAATTAAAAATAATATATATGTACAAAATTAGATTGATCAAAGATAAATAAACATATGATCAAATCACATATATAACATATCCTTAAAAAATGTATGTTGTATAGAAACAAAAATGATTTATGATATGACAAGTAATATTTGATCAATTTAATTTGTTACATGAATAGTTCTCTCAATTGATTATATGAGATGAATTATTTAAATCACTAAAGCATGTCCAAATTAATTCCATAATGAGTCAACTTTACTATAGAAAATAAATAAATAACCGTACTCTTCATTTTCATATTATTTTTATGTTTGTATGAAAACATTGCTTAGAAATTTAGAAATGATTTATAAGTATTTTCTTAAGATATGATGTTTAAGAAAACTTTTCCTTAAATAGTTTGTTTTGAAACAGTTTAACCAAAAACATATATCAATTTTTCTATTTTTATAATTAAAAAAAAGCAATATTAATTTTAGAATAAATTATATTAACATTTCTTGAGATTTGAAAAAAAAATACATTGAGTCTTACTAATTTTACCTATTTAAATTTTATTCACACAAGATTTTACTTTTACAAAACACTTAACTTAATTTTTTGCATTGATAATATACTCGAAAAATTTTACAATATGAACGATTCGGATTATCAAAAAACAAACTCAAAAAAAAAAAACAACCTACAAGGGCACTACAGTAGTAGGGGTGTAAATCTGGCCCGGCCCGGCCCGCCCAGGCTCGGTCCGGGCCGGGCCCATGTCAAGCCTTACGAGCTCCCGCCAAAATTCAGGTCGGGCCAGGCCAACCCACGGGCTAAAAAAAATTAGGGCCAAGCCCAGGCCCAAACCCAAGGGTATTCGAGCTTTGGAGCGGGCCAACGAGCCGGGCCTTGGGCCAAGCCAATGGGTTCGGGCCTAGGCTCGGGCTTGGGCCAGGCTTGGGCGGGTCTGACTATTTTTTTTTGTTTTTTTAAATTTTTTCTACCAAAATTTTATTATTTTCTATTAAAAAATACACTAGGCCTCGGGCGGGTCGGGCTTCAGGCCTGGCCCTAAGTGGCTTTTAAGCGGGCTGATGGGCCGGGCCCACAGGCCGAGCCGGGGACAGGTTTCAAAATGATGGCCCAGACCCTAGCCTAGGGGCTCGGGTTGGGCTCGGGCCTAGACCCAAACGCACCATAAACGAGTCAAGCCCGTCTCGAGTCACAAGCGGGCTTCGGACCACCCACAGACCGCAAGCCATTTTTACCCCCTTATACTACTGCCTGTTGCAAGATCTCCTGAGCCCCACCTTTTAGAAAAATTATAACAAGGGAGTAATATATACAATTAAAAAATTTATATAATTTTTTTTTAACATATAGTGATATAAATTCTTCTAGTTCCATTATTTTTAATTAAAACATTCATCAGTATCTTTATCGTTTTAAAATTATCAGCACATTCTTGTATATGTACTTTTTTTATAAAATTTTTGTTTGCAAATCATTTTTCAATATTAATGTTTGATTTGGGTTTTCAAGATTTACTTTTCAAAAAATTAAAATTTTTTGTTTTCCATATTTCTTTAGTTTTACTAAAAAAAAATTAATATTCCAAGCAATTTTTTTAATTTTTAAATATACTTAACATAAATAGACTTAAAAAGTATAATATTTGTGAAAAAAATCTTTAGAAAAGTCACTAAATACCAAAAATACAAAACAAAAAAAAAAACGAGAATTCAATACATTTTTTGTATTCTTATGTATTTATTGATTTTTTAAAATATTTTTTTACAAGTATTTTACTTTTTAGATACATCTAAGTAAGGTGCATCTAAAAAAGTAAAAAAAAAATTACTTAAAATTTTAAAAATATTCACTAAAAATAAAAGATACGAAAAATTAAAAACTCAATTTTTAAAAAATTGAAACCAAATACACTGAATAGCATTTAAGACCGATATTTTCAGCCCACTTTCAAAAAATTTAGAAAAATGCAGAAAAATCCTCTTGACCTAATTTTTATATCAAAATTTTCCTTAAAGTATTAGCCTTCAAGTGAAAATAGTTTTATTGAAAAAGAGTGAGTGGTTTAAGAGAAAATCCAATTTTGGTAACAGTCGATGAATCTGGATAGTACTGGAGTATTTCTTTAATAACTAAAAATCTAAGAAAGCTATCCTATTTCTGAAAGATGATCTAGAAACTAGATAAAATTCTCTACAAACCATAGAAAGGCGAAGTTCCGAAAAAATCTAAAAATGTCTCTTAGATTGTGATCCTTAAAGTGTATCTAATTTGAAAATTTATGTTTATTGATGATTTCATACTTTGAATTTCATGAATGTGCTTTTATCACTTGTTTGGGTCTTAGCATGATTTTTACATTGTTATGTCTATATATCTTTACCATGGTGCTTTGATGATACTCGTAAGTGTATAGAAATTATTGTCTCAATAATTTGTTCTAACCTTAACTTTAAACATCTAACTCAAAAGGAAACTAAATGGGATGGTATTGAATTTTCAATCACTTGAATAATGATGAGATGATAATGTGTTAACTTCAAGTATGGATTGATGGGACGTGTTCCCTAATTAAAGGTTAAGTCTTATGCCAATAATTGTTTCAGAACCCTTGAATGAACCGGTTATATTCGAATCCTAGGTGTTTATGATGGATAAGGTTGGAGGAGGTTATGGGCTTAGTCCTTATTTTTTCCATCTCTTTTGGGGTCATCAGTTGGCGCTACGTAGTATGTAACTGTTGTAGGCATCACGGAGTAAGGTTTGTAAGCAGCAAAAGTGGGGCATACAAAATAATCCGAGTCCAATTCTTGTGGTTGAGAGGATAAAATCTCTTTGGGGGATTTCTAGATTACTAACATCTAACCTTGTACCCTTTGCTTGTTTACTTGAATGTCATGCTTCATTACTTGTTTGTTATTATTGTGATTGTGTATTGGATTGAAAAAAATGCTCGGGGTGTGTGTACATTTACTAGGCATTCCAAGCTTGTAACACCCCCAAAATAATTAGAATAAACCCGTCTCATAAGAGGAAATAAAGTTGAAACAAGATACTTTCATTAATCAGGGTTGATATACAAAAGGTAACACATGCGATATCCATTCATAGGCTCTACCTTCAATCTATATCATGTGATACCAACTTAATGATCAACAAAATAAATGCCCTACTGGCATACTGTAGACACCCCATTTTTGACCGACCTTAAGACTCAGACGTCATCAATTGAGCGCTCGGTGATTGCGCATTTTGTGTTCGTTCTGAGGTTACGAAGTCTCAGCTGAGAGCCTTGTCTCCAGACTTCGGGACTCTTTTGTGCTTTACCTCGGTTTGCGAACCAGGTTCTGTTTTCTCTTCCCGAAGGGAGGGAGAGGTCTCATAGACCATCTCTCAGTGGCCGTAGGCTACTTTTCGTGGTCGTAGACCACTGTTCCCGTTTGGAGACCAGTTTCTGGTTTTCGGAGCCGTTGGTCGTGCGCCTTGGTTCGGGACCGCTTAACTTTCTCCGTTTGCTCCGATTTTTGGCACACACC